AGGGAGCCCGATGTGGGGCTCGATCCCAGGACCCTGGGATCATGACCTGAGCCGAAGGCAGACGCTTAACAACTGAGCCACGCAGGCACCCCTGTTTCCATTTTCTAATTGGCTTTTATTTTGCCTAACATTCTTTCTTACTCACGATTTGGGGAGAGAATGGCTAATTTGAGAATTCAGAGGTAGTGTAGCAATTCTATAGAGAGAATACTGGGTTTAGAGCTAGTTAGAAGATTGAGTTCTAGTTCAGAGTTTGTCCCTTTCTTTTTTGGAACTCTACAAAATAATCACGTTGGACTAAATAATCTATTTGGTCCTTTCCAGACCTACTTTTTTATATTATTGTGCAGGATTTCAGTCGTAAGTCTTAGGTATTATTCCCTCTAAAAGTTAAACAAAAATATCTTGGCTGAAGTAATCTGTAACAGCTTCCCACCCAAAATACCAAAGACTCGAGGTATTGACCACTTAAGCTGTCAGGCAGCTGTCGGAGTCTGAGGTTGTTAAGAGTCCCTGGGCTGTCACCTCCAGTTACATCTGTGATTCCAGTCCCTTCTCGTTTACCCAGTATATTCTGCTGTACGAATAGGATTTTCTGTGTGCTAACCTGTGAAAAGGTTTGGAAGCACTGATCTATAAGAATGTATCAAGGAAATAACACAGAGTACCATAGGGGAAGGGAAGAAAAGTGAATGAGAAGAAATCAGAGAAGGAGACAAACCATGAGAGACTCTTGACTCCAGGAAACAAACTGAGGGTGGTGGAAGGGAGGGGGGTGGGGGAGAAGGGGTAACTGGGTGATGGGCATTAAGGAGGGCACGAGATCTGATGAGCACTGGGTGTTATATGCAACTGATGAATCATTGAACACTGCATCAAAAACTAGTGATGTATTATATGTTGGCTAATTTAATTTAAATTAAAAAAAAGTATCGAGGAAAACTTTTGCTCATGGCAAATAGATACAGGTCATATCCTTGCTATATTTATAATTCTTCATTCTTTGACTTTTCAGCATGGCTGCTCGCTGTTTCTGGGATGCTGACACTGACAACTACACTCACGACGTTTTCATGAATGTAAGTCTATTTGGAAGCCTTTTTTTCCTTTCCAAGGACATGTGGACATTCCAAGTCAAATTAATATTATTAAGATATAAGGCCACTTCAGTTTTAGATGTCTGTCTTAGACTCCTTCTGGATGAAATGATTTTACTCTTCCTTTACTGTGTTACTAAAGCAGAAGAAATCTAATGTGCTGATAGGCGAGGAGACTTGTAGGTGTACACACGATATAACTCTTCACAAGTTTGATTTTGAGAATATCATATTGTTTATTTAATGCTAACAGACATGTGGCATTGGCTAACTCTAACGAAATTGGGTTGGCAGGGGGGCGCCTGGGTGGTTCAGTCGGTTAAGCGTCTGCCTTCGGCTCAGGTCATAATCTCAGGGTCCTGGGATCGAATCCTGAATCAGGCTCCCTGCTCAGCAGGGATTCTGCTTCTGTCTCTACCTCTGCCTTTGCCCCCAACTTGTGCTCCGTCTCTCTCAAATAAATAAAGTCTTTAAAAAAAAAAAGAAAAGAAAAGAAATTGGGGTGGCAGGGATTCATGAGCAAAGGTGATTTTCATTCAGTAATAAAATTATTTTATCTTAAAGCTATTTCTCAAAACTAAGCAAAAATAAAGAGAAATTTTTAAAGAGATTTCATTTAAACATTGGTCCACTATTGGCTGAATGTTTTATATATTTTAATCATATGCTGTTATACTTGCTTCCAGAAACGATCACTTTCTCTATCCAAATGCTCCTAGGTTGTGAATTAGTAGATTCAGAATTAAAGTATAGTAAAATAGAACAAAAACTTGGTTGAGTTAATTAGGAGAGGGGTTCCATTTCCAGCTCTGTAACTTACTAATTGAATGACTTCAGGTGTCATTGGACTTTTCTCTGATTGTATCAGTAACATTGGGAAGCTGTACTAGATTTTCCCAAAGAAGGCTGTGGCTGCCTAAAAATAATTTGGGGAACTTATTTAAAATACAGATGCCAAGACCCTACTCAAGTAGATTCTGATCAAATAAGTCTGGTGTTAAATCAGTGATTCTGAATTTTTAAAAAAGTTACCCACATGATTATGCTTACTGCCAGGTTTGGAAGCTGCTTATGGTAATGATCTTAAGACACCTTTTAGCTCTAAAATTCTGTGGTCCTACCAGTTTCATTTTATATTCAACTCCCTTAGGGATCAAGGGCTGACTAGTAGGAAGTACTATGTAAATCCCATTTATCAGCTCTCTAGGGGAAGGGTCAAGCTAAGGTGATGGTTTTTCCTGCTTTTTGGAGTTATTGAGTCCTTATACAATGCAGTTCATTCATTCAGCAAATATTCTGAGCTCCCATTAGGTGCCAGCCTCCTCTAGAGGTGCGAGGGATAAAATTTTGAATAAGACAGACATGGAGAGCTCTGGGTGGTGCTGTAGAACAGCCAAAGTGGGATCCACAGACCAGTGCCAGTCCTTGAGCCGTGTGTTTACACATCCTTCATGAGAGAAGTGCATAAATAGTGTAAGAGTTTAGAAACTCTTACAGGAATTTGACAAAGTAATTTTATATTGATTAAATCTAATAGTAAAAAGTTTAGGCTATATTTTGTATGTTTCTTTTTTCATCCCATTTTCCTACTTACCAGTTTTTATTGTATTTTACAAAAGTATCAGTGCCTAAGGGCCTGGAAAGTAAAATGAAAACAAAAACAAGTTTCTCACTACAGATAGCACTGTTGTGGAACACAGTTCATGGTTCTCCCACCCAAGCAGGCAGGGACCTGGGCTTAACCAAAGAATTTTGCTTTGGTTAGTAATCAGGTACTTGAGTTTAGATTGTTTTCTCCAAGTAGTACCAGGCTGGAGATGAGATTTGTTGGTTTCAAAGGAGTCACTGAGGAAGGTGGAACTCCTATAATAATTACCTAAGAAGTGTTTTAACAAGTTTAACTGGGATCTGGAAAGCATTTTGTGATTCTGAGTTAAAAGACAGATAAATGGGGTGCCTGGGTGGCTCAGTTGGTTAAGCGACTGCCTTCGGCTCAGGTCATGATCCTGGAGTCCCTGGATCGAGTCCTGCATCGGGCTCCCTGCTCAGCGGGGAGTCTGCTTCGCCCTCTGACCCTCCCCCCTCTCATGTGCTCTCTCTCTCTCTCTCATTCTCTCTCAAATTAATAAAATCTTTTTAAAAAAAGATAGATAAATGAATTTTATCAATTAAGAACAAACACCCAGAGACCATTTGTCCTTACCCAGAATATATGACAAGGTGCTGTTATGTTTTTTTTTAGATTTATTTATTTGAGAAAGAGAGAATGAGAACGAGAATGCACAGGGGAAGGGGCAGAAGGAGAGAAAGAGAGAGAATCTTGAGCAGACTCCCTATGGAGCGCAGAGCCCAAGGTGGGGCTCCATCTCATGATCTTGGGATCATGACCTGAGTCAAAATCAAGAGTTCATGCCTAACTGACTAAGCCACCCAGGCACCCCAAGATGCTGTTATTTTTATCTGCGATGTTGTAATATAGTTATGCATTTACTCCAAGAAACTCAAAGCATTTCATAATTGTTATTTCTGTGATAAATCAGGAAAAATGTAAATACTTATTTTATGAATATGAAATTACATAAAGCTCATTAGTTTGCATTTTACTTCTACCTTCAGAAAATCTAATTCTTTACCCATCCTACCCTTTGAGCAAGCAATTTTGTAGTTACCCTGAAGCAAGCAACTTTATAGCTATATTCTGGAAATCCTTTGTATATTGAAGAAGGAAAAACCTTCATGATTGAAAACTGGCAAAGATCTGAGATGATGTTCATTTTGATTGCCTTTGCTGCCCTTAGTCCTTCATTAGTACTAACCTTCTGGATTTGTGTGTGTTTTCTGTTTTGTTTGCTTTTTAGGACAGTTTATTCTGTGTTGTAGCGGCATTCGGCTGTTTCTACTATTGAATCTTTGAAAAGTTGGGTAAAAATATGACCATGAAGAAATATACATTTTTTTATATTGCTAAATATCTCAACAAAATAAAGATAATTTGGCATTTTGGCAGCTGAGTCTATTCAGTTTTAGGCCTTATATTTTAGTGTTTTGATTTTGTTGTAACATGTTCTTATTGTATTTGGAAAGTGGGGAAAATTCATATTTCGACTGTTCAAGCATAACCAATTGTAAATATTTGGGTATATTTTCTACCAGTGCTTTTTTATTTTCAGGGTTTTAAAAAAATCATTATACACAATTTTGTACCCTGATTTTTCACTTCTCATAATGTCATGTGCAGTGTTTGTCATTTTATTTCCATTATGATTTTCATAAGCATAATTTAATAGCTGCACTTACTCCACTAGGTAATACCATTGGTTATCGTTGCCATTTCCTTATTAAGGGATTATTTATTATTTTTTCACTATTATAAATAACACTGAGATGAATTTATTTGTGCATAAAGGTTTTTTGTACATTTTGAATTGTTGTCTTTATCTCTCATCCAGAGTTTCTGCTTAGCTATTGCTATCCTACACCTTACACAGCTTATTAGGTTAAACGCACATTTTCTCCAGGGTCTGCCGTAGTGTTAGGGACAGTGTCCAAGTTGTGTATGGAATCAGCTGTCCCTTAAGACTCTGAGATTATTCTGGGTACTATCCAAGCTCCCACTCTCTTTGTAGTGATGTTCCCCTTGTAGTCCCTGGCGTCTTCCCTGGCTAGCAGCCCTAACTTGAGACACCTTAGTTTCCAGGCCGTTCAAGTAACTATTTGAAATGCAAAAGAGAAAGGGTTACAACTTAAATCCTGTTTCCCTCTGGCGGCCCCTCAGCAGTCCTAAGTGTATACATCCATTTTTTTTCTCAGCCACTTTCAAGTCAAGCATGTAGACAAAAAATAGTAATAAATACATTTAAAGTTCTTTTACATTTCCCTCCCGTAACTCCCATTGGATATTTGCTCGTCTTGCGTCTATGGAATCAAAAGGGACCCCTCCAAAGGTTCATTTTAGCAAAGGAAAACTTTTCTCTTTACCAGATACCCTGCAACATGTGATTCCCCACCAGCTGGCCTCCCTAGAATGCACTCCTGCTCAACTAGCCCGCGGTTGATTCCTATTGATCATTTTTCGGTGAGCCAACCTGGGTCAGAAATAACAGAAACGAGGGTTTGGGACCAGCTACAGGTCACCACAGGGCTGGGCTGACGGACAGGAATTCTCCCTACGTGACCAAGCAGGGCAAAGTTGGCGCTGTGGTGAAGCGGCCGCAGGCCGACGGGTCCCCGGCGGAAGGCGTCAGGGCCACCTGCCCTGCGCCAGACGCCGGGGACGGGGATGAAAAGGCCGGAGAGGACAGGCCCTCCCCGGGGAGGCTGGCCCGGAGCTGGGGAGCCACCGGCCTAACGCATCTTGACTGACTGCCAGCAAGCACGCGCGACAGTTCACGGCCGTATCTCCTCACGAGGCGGTGTCTTCACCCCAAACTCCAGTTCCGCATGGATACTGGCCCTTGGCCATCTCATCTCTTGCGTCTGGTGTTCTCTGCTCAGCCACGCCATCCCGGGGGCCTCTGTGGCGGCGGAACTACTGTGTCAGGGGTCGTGGATTTCAGGGAAATGCCGTAGTCGGATTGACAAGAGGGCGGGCAGCAGGCGGGACTTCCGGCCCGCTGTTCCGTCAGCTGCCTTTCCCGGGCGTCTCCCCGCAACCTCTTCAACTTCCCTTGTCCGTGACGCGGCTCCTAGGAGAAAGCCGACTGGACTGGGGCCCGGGAGCGTTAGCTGCAGGTGAGGATCCTGTGTGTGCATCTCCTTGCGGCTGTCTCTGAGAGGACACACTGTTTGGCTAGGACCACGAGGAGACTGACTGAAGAGTGGGTCAGTGACAGCGAGGGGAGCGTGAGGAGGGGTTACGAGGCTGCTGTGAGCCAGAGGCAGTGACAGCGAGGGGACTGACCGAGATGTAGCTGCTTGCGAGGAGTGTGCCACCCAGGAGCAGTGAATGCGAAAGGACTCTGACCTCCGAGAGCCCGAGGCAGAGACTGCGAGAGGACTATTACCGAGAAAGTATGAGGCAGTGCCTTGGAGGAGACTCGGGGTCGAGAGAGAGTGACTGTGCGGGGACTCTGCTCTAAGAGAACAAGAAGCAGCGGCCGGGGGCGGGGGGGGGGGCGGGGATCTTTGACCAACCAGCAGTAACTTTGAGGGGCTGACCTGGACAACAGTGTGGGCTCAGTGACTGGACATGGTACTGCAGGGTTATGTTTGGGCACGGGCTGTGGTTGAGCGGTCATGACTGGGCAGAGAAGGTCTTTAGTGTAAAGAACACGGATCTGGGTGGGACTTAGCAGATAGACCCAGGTTTAACTTTATGGACAAACGTCTTGTGACTGGGAAACTTATCTCAAGACCGAGCTCCAGTTTTTTCATCAGTGAATGGGAAGTTTGGACTAGATTAATGTTTACTAGACTAGGGGTTCCATCCTATTATTGGGTTGTGAAATCCATTTAATGGATAGCACCTGAAATTTTTTTTTAATGGAATACAATAGAAATTTTCAGTGTGTTCACATAGTAAGGGTAAGTTTTGTTTCATGAAACTTCTTTCAGTTATGTATGTATGAGATGATATAAAATGGATTTCATATATCCTAAAATGTGTGAAATGTAAGTAAAAATGTTTAAACTCAGATTATTTCTGAGTTTTCTTTCAGGTCTAAAATGCCATGATTTTTTGTTTAGGGGACTGTTTAGAAGTAAGTACAAAGACTGGCTCTGTGGCTGGGGAGACAGGCTCCATCAGATTGACTTAACTGGAGAAGTTGTCCCAAATATAATTGAGGTGACTGGTTACAACTGAGGACTGAAACTCAAGATCTCAGTTGGGAGAACCAGAACTTACATATTGAAATAGGGACAGTGGTATTTATAGAAGCAGTGAGGATAGAGAGGTTTGTGATAGGAAAAACTGCTAGGAGCCGACATCGAGAAAGGGGAAGCTTTGAGGAGTGTAGGAGCAAGACTTAGGAAGGGAACTGAAGATAGAGACAGAAAACATTCTGCCAAGAATAGAATGGGGGTAGGGAGATACGGCCTTTAGGGTCCTTTTCGATCTTGATATTTAGTGATTCTGTAAGTACCAAGAATTGCTGGTATAAAGATATTAGTTGAGAATGGAATTGGTGCAATAATCAGTGGTAAGCAGACGGTGACCATCATGGGGAAGAAAGGAGATGCTAGGAGAGTCAACAGTGGTGACTGGAATACCATATGGGAGAGCCTTTGGTGTATTTAGCTATCCAGCTCAGTGATTATGTACTAGAGGCCAAGACTGGCAAACTGGGAATAATACCATGCTGTGAGTAATTCAGATGATGTTTTAGTTGGTGGTTTTATCCCCTACTGATCCCCATTCCTGAGGGCTGTTAGCAATGCAGATGAAATGAACTAAAGTGAGTTTCACTACCTCCTCTCTATAGACTTTATAAAAGGTGCTACTGATTGTGCACCCAGTGTTTTTTTTTAAAACAATATTTAATAGAAGAAGCTTGAGGTAATTTTAACTTATCTGACACTGCGTTTATCTGATAACCTAATAGTCACCCTCACCTCCTACACACATGTACTATGTGATAGAGGAAGGGAGTTCAGAAAGATTCTTGAATGGTAAAGTACTGAGTTGTGAACGATAGGGGAGAGTCTTTGTTTAGCTAAAAAATGGCTAATTACACCTTTTTCTAAAACATTAGATGTTTACTTGGCATACATTATACATAACTGAAAGGAGCTACTCAAGAATTTCTTTCTGTAACAGAATACAGTTGACCCTTGAGCAACACATGTTTGAGCTGCATGGGTCCACATACATGTGAATTTTTTTTATAAATGTAATACTGTAAATGTATTTTTTCTTCCCTATGATTTTCTTTCTCTTTCTTTCTTTCTTTCTTTCTTTCTTTCTTTCTTTCTTTCTTTTTCTTCCTTCCTTCCTTCCTTCCTTCCTTCCTTCCTTCTTTCGAGAGAAAGGAGGGGGGAAGGGACAGAAGGAGAGGGAGTGAAAGAATCTCAAGCAGGCTCCACACCTAGCTTGGAGCTGAAGCGGGCTTCATCTTACAACTCTGAGAACATGACCTGAGCCAAAATTAAGAGTCAGATGCTTAATCGACTGAGCCACCCAGGCACCCCCTTATGATTTTCTTTAAAAAGAAAAAAAAAGATTATATTTATTGATTTATTTGAGAGAGTGAGAGAGCATGAGCAAGAGTGGGGGACAGGGAGAAAGGGAAGCAGACTCCTTGCTGAGCAGGGAGCTGGACGTGGGGCTCGATCCCAGGACCTCGGGACCATGACCTGAGCTGAAGGCAGACACTTAACCAACTAAGCCACTCAGGCCACCCAGGCCCCTCAGCCCCCTTATGATTTTCTTTCTTTCTTTCTTTCTTTTTTTTTTAGAGATTTTACCTATTCATTTGAGAGAGAGAGAATGAGAGAGAGAATGAGAGAATGAGAGAGAATGAGAACGAGAGGGAAGAGGGTCAGAGGGAGAAGCAGACTCCCCGCCGAGCAGGGAGCCCAATGCGGGACTCGATCCTGGGACTCCAGGATCATGACCTGAGCCAAAGGCAGTTGCCCAACCAACTGAGCCACCCAGGCGCCCCCCCTTATGATTTTCTTAATAACATTTTTTCTTTAGCTTCCTTACATTCCTTGTTAGAATATGGTAAATAATATGTATAACATACAAAATATGTTAATAACTATTAATGTTATTGGTAAGGCTTCCAGTCAACAGTAGGCTTGTTTTGAAGCAGTCAAAAATTATAAGCAGATTTTCAACGTGTGTGTGTGTGTGTGTGTGTGTGTGTGTTGGGGGACAGTGCTCCTAACCTCTGTTTTGTTCAAGGGTCAATTGTATATGTTTCAAGGTAACTGACTTAGACGAGAAGACATTTAGGCTTGGGGACTGCAGCACTGCCTCTGGGATCCTTTGTGTTTGTTGAATGAAAGGATTCTTTTTGACCTACCCTGCTTTGCAAATTCCCTTCAAAAACCAGTATAATGGCCTGATTGATAAAGAATGAACTTTATTCCTTTCTAAGCCTATGATTTCTCTTCCCATAAATAGGTGAGGTTTTATTTTTCTTGGGGACCTTCTCTTTGAATATATGGTCCCTTAGGGAGAATAATTTGGTCAAAGCCTTAGGTTCAGAAATCCCAGGTTACTTTATCTGATGTTAACACTCACTCACTCTGTGACTAAGGGAAGAACTCTTTGCTTTCTCTTGTTTAAGCTTTTCTAACTATGGCAGAAGTAACTGTTCTGCTTAAACAGTCTTTAATAATCAGAAACGTAGGCATACTCACCAAATTTTGTATACAATCTCATGGAGTTTGTAAACCACCTGACCCCATTCTTGATTCCCCTGTGGAGCTGTCTAAACTCTAGGTTAGACATGATTTTCCTAGGGAGAAAAGTTTATAACTTTTCCATGTTAGAAACGCTGATAAGAATTGATTTATAAAATATTTATAGAAAAAGCAAACATAATAATTTGCTATTGTTATTAAGGATGGGTAATGACAAAATATCTAGTAATAATTATGATTTTCTTATGCTTTTCTTTTCATGTATTTGCATAACTGATCTGAAGTCAGATCTTTTGGCTCTTCTATTGGAGAACTCTCTCTACTCCCTCTTCTACAATTCAGTCAGTAAATTAAGGGAATATACATTTTTATGTACTCTATTTGGCAGTATGTAACAGAGCTCCACTCCAGAAGAAAAAAAAAAGAAAGAACTGTTTGTGAGTCTCTAACAAATATTTGGCACTATGTTAGGTTTGTTTACATACATTCCGTTATTAATATAAATAATTGAATTGCTTGTATTTTACTGTTTGCAAACCAGATTAGTAGATAGATATATAGCTGGGTTTTTTTTTTTCGGTTTTTGTTTTGTCTTTTTTTCCCTTTCTTTTGATAACTCTCTTGTTAAAAGTTGTATTAGTTTGAAGCTTTCTATATTTATACTAGAATGACTGCCAGTGAGCCAGGGGAACCCCTGGGTCTGCCAGGCTGTTATATCACACTCACAACTATTTGCAAACCAATTTTGAAGTAAAGGCTGGTAAAAAAAATAGTAACATATGGTCTTTGCTCTATGCTAGAGAACAAAATTGATGTGTGGCACTTAACAGAAAATAGTTTTTTTGTTTTGTTTTTTAGGTAGTTTTTTTTTTTTTTAATTTAAAGGTAATTATCCTAGATGTGATTATCTTTGTTTATTTTTTGGCCATAGAGTAGAAATCTTAATCTTTTTTTGTGCCATGGGTCCCTTTGGCAGTATGGTGAAACCTTGTAGATTCCCTTTTGGGATAATATTATTATACCAAGCAAAGAATTAAATACATAAAACTTAAAAGGAAACTATGTTGAAATAAAGTTATCAAAATGCTTTTAAAAATGTGTGGTATGAGGGACACCTGGGTGGCTCAGTCATTTGAGTGTCTGACTCTTGATCTAAGGGTTGTGAATTCAAGCTCCAGGTTGTGCTCCATGCTTCATGTGGAGCCTACTTAAAAAATTACATAAATATAAAATAAAATGTATAATATAATACTATATATGCTTTTAACATTGTAAATAATGTTTACTATCAATGGATCTTATAATAATTTAAAAATGATATGTTTAAACAATATTTCAAAATATTTGTAATAAGTGTAATGCTATCTGAAAATATCTAAGATTTCTATTAGTGATGATCTATTACTATTGTGGCTTATGTT